CAAATGCCATCACATGTACTCTCGTATGGATTGTCGAGAATAAGTGACATATCGTTGGGATTCAAGTCTTTCACTCGAATCACAGATTTGTCCCAAAGTTGTGGCCAAACGTCATGTGCTTTACTATAAATCATATGAATAATAAAAATCACTTTTGATACAATAAGTTATTAAAAAATAGGGTTACAATTAATTTATTTATGACTTAAAGTTACAGTTAATTATTTTAAAAATAAATAATATCTAAATTCTAAGGAAAATATTTCACTTTTATTATAACTATGTAAGATAAAATGTTATAAATAATATTGTTTATATTAGAGATGTTAAAATTATTCAAATGCAGCAGTTTTATAAAATATCTGTAAAATTATCATAAATAATTTTTAGCGTTTTTGTTTATTTATACACAAATGTATAACAAATAGTATACCCGTTCCCACCGACCCCCGGCCACTTAGTCAGTAACCATAACAAATCAATTTGACTCAAAATTTTCTCTGTTTTAGTCACGTGATTAAACAAACTTTTAATACAAAAATTGGACATATAAAACTCTATTTTAATTTTTGCATATTTGATCTAGCTCGTTTAGTTTAAGATGTAATTTAAATTCCGCTGTGCTCATACGTTATGACTCACTAGATAACAAAGTATGTGCTCAAAGTTTTAACTACAGCCCTATCTTTATAAACTATGGCCCTATCTTTATCAGCAAACTACCTTTGTCATATTAATTCACTATTTTTAATATTTGTCGTATATGTCCAGTAATTATATCTTATATTCACTGTCATTATCTTTACATAATATTATTTTTATAATTACTATCATATAAAGTTGTACATATGCGAAATTAGCAGCTCACAAACTTTTGCATTTATTTGCAATTTTAATTATGAATATTTTCAAAAGTTTTTAGTACAATAAAAATTGATTTAAAACTACATAATTTAAGGTAAAATATATATATATAATAAACAATAATTTAAAATTACAATAAGTTTTGTCAAGTTTACTATTAATAGATTATTATCCTAACTAGATTATTGAAACGCTATCAACAATGTTGAGCATACAGGAGCCGACAATGATCGAGATAGAAAGTGAACAAAGAGTTAAGAAAATATCGCTACCCCATCGCATACCGGCGTTTGGTATTATATGTGCCTTAATTGGTATGTAATTGATTTATTATCTTAATTAATTTAGATAACATTGTAATTTTATTTGAAAAAAGATTTACACTGCGATTCTATACGTGGTTAATATTTAATAATATAGTTAAATAATTAATAATTATATAATTAGTATTTGTTTTGATTATTTTTGATTAGACGCTACAATGTCTTCGTTATCATCGCTTATTGTAAAATTGTTAACAGACTTGCATTCAATAGAAATACTCGTTATCAGGTAAAACTCGTAATTGCTATTTATAAATTGTAATTTATATACTGTATTTAATTGTAACAACAATATTGAAAATTTTTACCAAATGCGATGGAATAAATATTTTTAAATAAAAATCCAGATGCACATTTCAATTCATACTCTACTTTTTCATAACCATATGGAAAAAGTACCCCGTTTTCGGGCAACCGGGACACCGATTGGACCTATTCATGAGATGCATCAACGGGACCATCTCGTTAATCACCCTGTTTATATCGTACCGGCTAATGCCACTATCAGATTCGGCTACCATATACCAAACTACTCCAATATTTGTCACAGTATTTGCGTACCTAATACTGCACGACCGACCCAACGTGGTACAGCTAATCACCGGGGTGATTACAGTGATCGGGGTGTTTATCATATCTAAACCCGCGTTCATATTTGGTTCGGTGGGTGCGGACAAGTATGACAAGCGTTGGATTGGGATAATAGTGTCGTTGACCGCAGCGATAACAGCGGCGATGGCGATGATTAATCTACGTAAACTCAAATCGACCCAGGTGCCCGTTGTGGTCACGTGGTTCTCGTTGGCCGTTGCGCTCATCGGTGGCTCAGTGTTGCCAATACTGGACCGCTGGACACTGCCCGCCGGTATCCGGCAATGGGCTCTATTGGTGGCTATAGGGGCCGCCGGTGTGTTGACTCAATATTTTCAGACCACAGCGTTTAAGTATGAAAGTCCCGGACCCATCTCGGTCGCCAGGAGTTTTATTATCGTACTGGCATTCATATGGGAAGTGACAATATTTCACGAGCCCGTCCACTGGCAGTCCATTACCGGTGCTCTACTCATATCGTCGTGTGTAGTGATGACAGCCGTGTATAAGATGTATGAGGAAAGTCCGCTAAAGAAGCTCTCCAAATCCAAAAAATATGGTCATAAGGCCTACACGGCCTTTTCACCAATAGTCTATCTGTCACGACCGTTAGGATTACTATGATTGTTATCATTACGATCTTTGTTGCCAACCTATGCTATGATGGCTAGTTGTCTGATACTATCAAAACAATCTCGGCCACTTTCAATTAGAAGCATCACATGAACAAATAAGTATAACTTATTGACACATTATAATGAATGTATATTTTTAAACTGAAAATTTAATTATTTTCACTGCCCATAACTTTCCCGTAATTTTTCTTAAATTTAATTTAATGTAAAATTATCAAAATCAGAACTACTTTATAATCTAACTAATTAAATATTGTATTATATTGAAATATAAAATAAGATTATTATATTATTTATGACATATAGTTATTTATTCAAACTAAAATACTGTAATTTATTATAAATCAAATATATTCATAATAAAACAAATTGCTATATATACTAATTATGTTGGCTAAATTAATACTACATGTTTTATTTATTCAGTAATTGAGTTAGAATTAACAGGTCGTTATATAATTTATTGTAAGCTCTATGGTAGCTTATTGTAAACTTTTAAGCTAAATGCATAGCGATCTTTTAAGTATTTTACATTTATAAATTATAATAACAATTTTAGTAACATTTTATAATGTTGTATAAAAAACAATATCATATTTATAATTTATTTTCAAACGTGAAATTCATACCAATAAAAATTAAAACTGAATTATATATGGTGTGAGCCTAGCATCACCAGGTGGAATATCTTACAAACTTTGCTTGCGTCTAACATAATTGCTTTTAAATGTATTCCCTTTCCACATACTCCATTTACGTTGACCAAGCTAGGTAGTGGAACTTTGTACAGTATAAACTAATATTTTAATTTTGTATATATTTATTGTAAATTATTTTGTTACAAGAACAATTGTGTGTAATTATTTTTGTAATCCTAAAATTTAAAAATTATTGAAACAATAAATATAATAATAAAATGATCAAAAATATTGGCTCCAAATGCTGTCACATGTACTCTCATATGGATTGTCGAGAATAAGTGACATATCGTTGGGATTCAAGTCTTTCACTCGAATCACAGATTTGTCCCAAAGTTGTGGCCAAACGTCATGTGCTTTACTATAAATCATATAAATAATAAAATTAATAATTTAAAAAATAGTCATTAAAAAATAATATTAAATTAATGAAATACTAACATATTTTTAGCAAAATTAGTCCACATTTTCATAACATCTAAACTGAAATCGTAATCAATTTCGCGGAAAGCGGTGGCCGTCCGCACGGGTTCGCCAAAAACATACGCACCGTCCGCGCCGTGACATATGGTGTTGTCATCGCAACCAAACGAGGCAAACAAATTTGTTTGGAAATTAAATCGGTAAAAATAGACCGGTTTTTCTGACTTAATTGCCCAGCGCTTGGCAAACAAATACGTCGGGCATATCATTACAAGATCGCCGTAGAGGTTACCAAAAGCCCGGACCATAGCCTCCGGTTTCCCGGTGTCTATTCTTTGCAGATAGTGTGCGACCACTTTGTCGGCATCAATGTTATGAAAGATATCGCTTACATTGGATACCAATTGTTTAAAAGCATCTAGGTCAAATTTATGCTTGACCAATTGTTGTGGATATTGCATGATAGCCAACATTGGGCCCTCGTCTTTGGCCACACCGGCCATTATAGCGACATCTATTTTTTGTAAAATTTTAAGAATTATACATTGTATATAAGAGGAGGATTTTAAAACATTTTATATTTAAGTATTTGAGTGTATATTTTTATAAAGCATTTTATAAAGCTTTACAATCATTGTAAAGAACAGTTATATAAAGTAATCACAATAATTAATTTTAGTTTATTGCTATTCTTAAATAAAGATTATTTTATAGATCAAGTTTAAAGAAATTATTTTATTTTGCATAATATTTGCTATACCACTAATGTGATTAATAATAAAACATGGTAATTACCTGAATTATAGTCTCCACTTTCAAACGCCTTTTGGGGTAAAATTGGTAGAAATTCTGTGCCAAACACAGGGAAAACAATGATAAAGGCTTCGCCCGCATCGGCCGTATCCAGAATTAGGTTCGGGTCCTCTATTGCCCGCAAACAGTCCAACCATTTATAGTCGTATGGATCGCAGCCAACCCTACGGGCCGTCTCTTTGGCCTTCGCCAACCCGTCGACAGTACCCAAAACCGGTCGACCCTTATTGAACATAAGGGCACCGCTCTGTACGATAGCCCTCTTGAATAGGCCTTTACTTAACGGTGACAACAGGTGTGCGGACACAGACCACGCGCCGGCACTCGCGCCAAATATAGTGATCTGATCCCTATCTCCGCCAAATAGATGTATGTTTTCTCTAACCTATTATTATTATTATAACAGCAATTTATATATTATTTTATTAATAAATAAAAATTATTTACAAAAGCGATCAATTAATACCCATTTGAGAGCCAATAACTGGTCATAAAAGCCCGCATTTCCGGGCGCAGTCTCGTCGGCGCCGTATAGAAAGCCCAACTGTCCCAACCGGTAGTTCACGGACACAACCACCACATCGTGAACGGGCAAAATACTACCATTGTGCATTTTTTGATACAACGAGCCGATAGACAACGCGCCTCCGTGTATATAAAACATCACTGGTTTTAATTGACCGCTCGGTATGTCTGTACCCGTGGTCTCAGTCCATATGCCTAGTGTTAGACAGTCTTCACTGATGGTGATTTTGCCCATCAATTGTTCAAACATTGGGTCTATGGTTTGTATACATGACATTCCGTGTACAGTACCGTCTATTATATCCTATTAATAGTATTCAATAATAATTGTGCCGTAGATACTTTTATTAAATACAATAAATACGTTATTTTTAATAATATTTTACATACCTTTTTGGGTGCTTTGAGTGGTACGGGAGGGGCGAACCTGAGTGGACCTAAAGGTGTCTCAGCGTAGGGTATATTCAAGAATTGATGTATTTTGCGATTCAAGACATGGAGTGTCTGACCCCTCACTGAACCCGAACTTGTGTTCACATCAATTGTATTTGAATCGCAAACACAACACATTATTAAACACGCCGTTAGTAATAATAAACACAACAAATATTTTTTAAACATTATTTTAGTTTTATTTTCAATTTTAAACAACAACAAAATTATGTTTAGGTTATAAAATAGAACACGGTAAGTTATATACTTATATAGTCATTAATATTTAGTGCAATAGTATTTAAATGCACTAAAAAAATTTGTTATTTTGTAATGCAATGAATTTTTTTATTTTATCTACATTTTTAGGTGCAATAAGTAAGTATCTAAAGTATCAAGAGGCTAGGAGTGCATTTAGGAGCACTAATGCTATTTTAGTCATATATAATGTGCAATAATATGGGCTTTTGAGCTAGTTAGTAAAAGTTCAGCCTTATTTAATATAAAGTACAGTGCAGAAAAGCGATTTAATTATTTGCACATCATAAATTTAACTATCTACCAATAATATCCAATAGAAAATTAATTCGCTTAACAAATAAAATATCTCTGAATTTTTAATTGAATATCATATTGCCATTATATAACTTAATTATCTAGATACTATATCCTTTAATATACTGTACATGTAGTGTGTACTGTTACAGTAAACTGTTACAGTTTACTACTGTATCTGTTTAGTGCAATATCAGTGAATAGTTATCTAAAAGTTTACTTGTATTTTCAATGCCACTTTAATGTTGTTGCTGTTATCAATTGAATGATTTTTTATTGTTGTTTGCATTTACAAGGTCTATTAAAAACATACTTGCTCAATGTTCTAATCTATGACAGATACTAAATTTTATTTATTAAAGTGTTATATTATTGTTGAATCCGTTTAGATAATAATTAACTTAATAATAATCCCATGACGTAAACAAAGGATGGTCAATCTCGTACAAGAACTATTAATATTCTTTATGTATACAATTTTTGTCTATCGGCTCGTTGTATCAAAAAATGCACAATGGTAGTATTTTGCCCGTTCACGATGTGGTGGTTGTGTCCGTGATTGATCAAAAATATTGGCTCCAAATGCCATCACATGTACTCTCGTATGGATTGTCGAGAATAAGTGACATATCGTTGGGATTCAAGTCTTTCACTCGAATCACAGATTTGTCCCAAAGTTGTGGCCAAACGTCATGTGGTTTGCTATCAATTAAACAAATTATAACATAAGTGATAAAAAAAAGTTAATTAATGAAATACTAACATATTTTTAGCAAAATTAGTCCATATCTTCATAACATCTAAACTGAAATCGTAATCAATTTCCCGAAAAGCGGTGGCCGTCCGCACGGGTTCGCCGAACACATAAGTAACGTCCGCGCCGTGACATATGGTGTTGTCATCGCAACCAAACGACGCAAACATATTTGATTGGAAGTTAAACCGATAAAAATATACCGGATTGTCTGACTTAAGTGCCCAGCGTTTGGCAAACAAATACGTCGGACATATCATTACTAGATCACCATAAAGGTTACCAAATGCCCGGACCATTGCCTCCGGTTTCCCGGTGTCTATATCTTTCAAATAATGTGCGACCACTTTGTCCGCATCGATGTTGTGAAAGAAATCGCTTAAATGAGATACCAACTGTTTGAATGCAACTAGGTCAAATTTTTGGCCCATCAATTGTTGTGGATATTGCATGATTGCCAAAAGTGGGCCCTCGTCTTTGGCCACACCTGCCATTATATCGACATCTATTTTGTTGTAAAATTTTAAAAATTATATATAAGACCAAGATGCATAAAACATTTTATATGTAAGTATTTGAGTATATATTTTTATTCATTGTATAACGCAATCATAATAATTAATTTTAGCTTATTACCATTCTTAAATAGAGATTATTTTGTAGATCAAATTTAAATAAATTATTTTATTTTGCATAATACAGGCTATACCACTAATGTGCTAAATAATAAAATATGGTAATTACCTGAATTATAGTCACCATTTTCAAATGCCTTTTGGGGCAAAATTGGTAGAAATTCTGTGCCATAAACCGGGAAAGTAGGGACAAATTTCTCGCCCCCTTCGGTCAACTCAATCATCAGGTTCGGGTCCTCTATTGCCCGCAAACAGTCCAACCATTTATAATCGTATGGATCGCAGCCAACCCTACGGGCCGTCTCCTTGGCCTTCGCCAACCCGTCGACTGTACCCAAAATCGGTCGATCCTTATTGAACATAAGGGCACCGCTCTGTACGATAGCCTTTTTAAATAAGCCCTTTGATTGCGGAGACAATAGGTGTGCCGATACGGATAGACTGCCGGCGCTCTCACCAAAAATGGTGATCTGATCCCTATCTCCGCCAAATGAGTGGATGTTTTCTCTAACCTATTATTATGTCATTAATTCATATATTATTTCATTAATAATTAAAAATTATATTTAAAACAATCGATCAATTAATACCCATTTGAGTGCCATTAACTGGTCATAAAAGCCCGCATTTCCGGGCGCTGTCTCGTCGGCGCCATATAGAAAGCCCAACTGTCCCAACCGGTAATTCACGGACACCACCACCACATCATTTATGGGTAAAACACTTCCGTTATACAAGTTTTGATACAACGAGCCAATAGACAGCGCGCCTCCGTGTATATAAAACATGACCGGTTTTAATTGACCGCTCGGTATATCATTACCCGTCGTCTCAGTCCATATGCCTAGGTTTAGACAGTCCTCACTGATGGTGAGTTTACCCATCATTTGTTCAAACATTGGGTCTATGGTTTGTATGCATGACTTTCCGTGTACTGTGCCGTCTATTATATCCTATTATTCAATAGTAATTAATTTTTTAAAAATATAAAAAATAATTATTCTTTTTAATATATACCTTTTTTGGTGTTTTGAGGGGTACGGGAGGGGCGAACCTGAGTGGGCCTAAAGGGGGCTCAGCGTAGGGTATATTCAAGAATTGATGTATAGAGCGATTCAAGACATGGAGTGTCTGACCCCTCACTGAACCCGAACTCGTGTTCACATCAATACTATTCCCATCGCAAACACAACACACTATTAAACACAACGTCAGTACTGATGAACACAACAACTTGTTTTTAAACATTATTTTATTATTATTTTTAATTTTAAACAACAACAAAATTAAACAGAGGTAGTCCAGATTATTAAATAGCTGCTATTTAACAGCACATGGTAAATTACTGTATATTTATATAGTCGTAGATGTTTAGTGCATTAGTGTACGAGTGCACTAACGGTTTTTTGTTATTTTGTAAGACATACAGTAAGTTAGGAACTTTTTATTTTATCGTAATTAACATTTTTAGGTGCAATAAGTAAGCATCTAAAGTACAGTGCAGCAAAGCGATTTAATTATTTGCACGTTATAAATTTAACTATCTACCAAATATATTCAATAGAAAATTACTTCGCTTAACAAATTAAATGTCTCAGAATTTTTCATTGAATAACATATTGACATTATATAATTTACATGTAATTACTATATCCTGTATATAATGTGTACTGTATCTGTTTAGTGCAATATCAGTGTAAACCTGTATATTATATGGTTAACATAATATAGTTAGCTAAAAGTGTACTTGCATTTTCAATGCCACTTTTATGTTATAGCTCTGTCATCAATTGAATGATTTCTTATTGTTGTTAGAATTTACAAGGTTTATTAAATACATACTTGCTCTATGTCCTAATCTATGATAATAGATATTGAATATTATTTATTAAAGTGTTATATTATTGTTGAATTTTTTTCAGATAATAATTAACTAGATAAGAGTCTCTCTCTCTCTCTCTCTCTCTCTCTCTCTCTCT